GTTAGATAATGCATCATGGCAAGAATACGAATTATATTACCAACGACACTTGTGGTGGGCTGATATGTAATTTTTTATTGTCATTTAAAAAATAAACTCAACAATGTAAAGTAGTGTTTATAGTCAATATTTTTTATCTGCTTGACTGACCCGATTAGGGTGACAGATTCTTCGGCATGCCTCTCTTGTGCTAAAAATTGAGGGTTTCAAAATTAAAATCAGATTTATAATTCAACATATATAGTAAAAGTTATATTGAAAAGGTCCTATTTATTTTCGAAATATAGAGCCGCTTATTTGTTAATTTTGAAACCCATTAGAGTAGTAATCAGGATGACTATGTCCGTATCTGACGCGGATATTATATAGCCGAATCTGATATTAGACAGATCGAATTATTTATATCCGACTGATACAATATTTAACAAAAATTTAAAGATTATAACGATGACGTAAAAAATAACAGATTTATTTTAAGCTTATAAACTTAAATGCTAAATAATAGATATTTATTTAATATATTGGCATACAGTATTGTTTAATAATCGCGTCGAATTTATGAAATTGACGTTAACTAAAATTCGGACAAGCGTTTGATCCCAAATTTAAGCTTTAGTTACCAAATTAACATATTCTTTTGACATATTAACATATCTCTTTTGACATCAATTTCGTACAAAAGGACATTTAATTTCGTGCAAAATGTTATTCAATTTCGTACAAAGTAATATTCAATTTCATACAAAGTGATATTTAAATTCGTACAAAGTAATATTCAAATCTGTACAAAATGACAATTAAAATAAGTTTGATTAAATCGTGATTTTTCGTGATCTAGTAATCAATTTAGATGATTTTATACCATTCGAATCGTCTCGTCGAGAGGATTCGAATGGTACCAAAACTTATTTTAAATGTCACTTTGTACGAAATTGAATATCATTTTGTACGAAATTGAATATCATTTTGTACGAAATTAAATGTCCCTTTGTACGAAATTGATGTCAAAAGAGATATTAATCGATCAATGTAAACCCCGAAAATTTTTGCTAGATTTATAACGCGTCTAACCCATCTTTCCTACTCCCGCCGCACCTCATTAGACAGAAATTTATAAATTGACGCGTCATAACTCGGGAAATGTTGAATATCTCAGCCAAAATCTATATTTCAATTTTTAAATTTTGGGGCATTTCATAAATTTGCCGCAATATAAATTATTTAAGATAAATAATATATATATTTCAAAGTTTAAAAAAAATCAATTAAATAAAATACAATATTATATATAAAATTTTTTTACTTGTTATATTAATATAGTTGAGTCAGAATAAATAAGAACTATATAAAATTATATAGTTAATGTTTAATTTTAGCAAATAAAATAATATTTAATTTGAAATAATGCCTCTAATTGCACTTGATATTTTTTGTGTGCTAATAATTTTGCTAGCATACATATAATCAGAATGCTTTTGAGGAATTATTGGTAACGTTTTAATAATTTTATCAGCATTTAAAAATTGTTCTTTGATTTCATATTCATCATCTGAAGCTAACTTTATAAGCCAATTATTAATTTTATGAGAAATATCCCAAGCATCTGGACGTTTTTGTGGATCTGGGTTCATACACTGATTTGCCAGTTCAATATAACAGTCAGGAGTTCCAGAAGCAAATCTTGGCCTCAATCCATTGCAAATCTTGATTACAAGATCAATATCAAATTTACAACCATCAAAAGGTCTTTGACCAGTTGACATTTCTGCCATAATAACTCCAAAACCATAAATATCTGCTGTTTGTGTAAACTGTTTTTTGCCTAATAAAACTTCCGGTGCAACATAAGGCATGACTCCGTAAATATCACCTACACTATTTTCACCATTCCTTTTAGATAATCTAAGAAGTACCGTTATTGTGAAGAATGTTACCACTATGAAAGTCTGCATGAATATAATTCGCATCATGAATTCGGACTAGATCTTTGGATATATCTATAAGTTGCTCTAACTTGAATATTTCCATCGTCAGCATATTGAAATACCATAAAGTATTCATCGGTTTTTGAGTCATAAGTTAAATCATATATCTGAAGTTGACTGCCGTATAGCCTACATTACACATAAAATTTATAGAATACAATTTTAAACCTACCTCGCTTAAAATATCAAGAGAATTTTTATTTGCTTTTGAACTCGACAAAGTCTTTAGTGCAACGATGCTATTTTGTTCACGTGACCTTTCATAAACATAATTGGCATCATCACCCTCATTAATTTTTTTTAATTGTTGAAAGTGCGACTTATAAATACTATACATATTTCCCAAAATCTTTATTTCGTATCGGATAATGTTTTTTTTTTTTACTGTGTACGTACGTACGTATACACTTTTTTTATTTTATTCATGAAAAACCTATATAAATGACCTGTCTCGGTGGGTGGCGCCTCACACTCGTTTTAATGAAATCGTGGTAACTGACATTGTATAGGACCTGTTAAAATCAGTACGGTGTTGGCACTTCTAAAATAAAAAATAAAAATAAAAATAAACAATCTTTGAATTATTGAGAAAGGTTTAAAAATGAGTTGCAGCCAAACAATTCCGGAAGAATTTAAAAAAAGAAATGGAATTATAAATTATATCAACTTTATGAAAGATTTGTTCCCCAGCGAATTAGCCTTTCCTGTTAAAGAGAATTGCCTGAAAGAGTATCTTACTCGCCAAGTTGAGAAAGTTGAGGCGGGTAATTTGCAAGCCAGGTCTTTGAAACTACACATAACAAACATTAGGGCCTATAATAGGTTTCTTGGTTTTGGCTGGACTTTTGACAGCATTACAAAAGAAGCTTTAGGCAACTCGCAATCGGACAATCTTCCGTCACTGATCGTAATCAGTTTAATATACAAGAAAGCGCCACACCAAATGATGCACGCTCTTCTCTCTCACATGGAATTAATACCTCGAATATCAATTCTCTTCCTACCGGCATTGATTTTTATACCCAACTGCAATCTGAACAATATTATACACATTCATATAATATAAGTTCCCTTGATGCTCAATCCTTCCCCTACCTAACATTAGTCTCTATTCATCGAATATTTTTCCAAATCAATTGTCTAATGCTACTCATATAGAATTAGTGAAGCAAGCAATTGATGCTCTGGGACTAATTTCTAATGCACATAGAAGAATAGTTTCTAACCATTTGTCTAATTCCCATATTAATATGCGAGAATTGATAAGGGAAATGTCTGATGCGTGGAAACACATTTCTGAGGCAGATAAAAAATTTGATCATTTATTTCGGTTTACTTTAACCGAATAATGTAATGCATGTTGACAAAAAGTCAACTGATCGAAAAGACAAGGGAGAGTGGTCAGGGTTACACGCCACGTGCTACAACCCTGTCCCGGTAACGGAGTCGGGTACCGAAAAGCATAGGTGCGCTTTGGTCATGTGTTTTGGAATAATTCCGGACAGCCAAAGGTGCCGGAAATGAATTCAATTAAAGGACTTAAAGTCCGCAGAATACATTGAATTGGTAATTTTAAGTAATTAGTAATTTAAAGTAATTTGAACTGAAACGATGATATGCTCCCGGAAGATTAGCAAGTGAGATTGCGCCAGGTATCATCGTAACAGTAGAGCGAGTGAGAAGCAGCATCAGCCGGTGGTTTCCCGCCTGCTCGAAGCAGGCCGGCTGTTAAATAGGAAAATGGCAGAAACAGGAGACTGTTCCAATAATTAGGTGTTGGGATTCTGCCATTTCCTATTGTGCATGGTGTCCCGTGTTAGGGCATGCATTATGTTGACTTAGCGTTATGTCAACGTGTCTCAAGGATGCTGGAATAGCTTGCATGAGATAATGCATGTGTGTACCGTGCTGCTTTTTAGATGGCGAAATGGGCCAGAGGTTCGTTGTTTGTTGTCTCTTCTCTTTTTTTTTTCTTTTTTTTGACTAGAAGGCTTTATTTGCTCATTTATTTGTTGTGCAGGTACATATGTGTGTGATTCAATTTGCTATATATACCTATCTATTCTATATCAGTATCATCATTACTTATGTGCGTTTGTGGCGTATGTATATGTTCTTTGTTTGTTATTGTTATTTATTGCGACTGTGTCGGCCGAGGCTCCAATATAAAGGGTTATGAGGGCGGCTCAGTCGCAATATGCTTTTATCAATATTGCAGCTATCGTGGCCGGATGGGTCCGGATATATCTGTAGAAAGATTCCGAACTCCACCTGCCAATTTTCTGGATTAGTATGAGCTGGACGCCGCGCATGACGAGCTCAGTTGTGCCCCCCAGCCCTGAAACTGTGGCCTGCCACGTCCTCAGTTGGCAAGAATCGTTTAAGTCTATCGATGAAATGCCATTTTGTCGCCCATGACCCATCAGCCTTGGTAAATAGCAGATCATTTTTCTGTATTACTGTTGGGTCCGTCCTTTGCACGATATAAGTCTTTAAAGCGTCTATCGGACATAGGTCGTCATATGTCGGGTTGATGGTCAAGGAGGTGCATATGGCTGTTTTATGATTTTTGGTCCGAGCCAGTTGGATGGTGGCATATGTGTGATGGCCCACTTTCTCAAATGTCAATGCGCCCAGGCTTGGAACCTTATTAATGTTTTGCCGTGTCGTGGGCAGAAGCTCACCTAAGCGGGCCAATCCGTAGAAGGCTGACAGGGCTATTGCCCAAAACAATTTGTCATCTGGGTTGTTAAAATTAAGGTTGTCCTTCAGGGTTCATAGGTGTGCCTAGTAATGTGAGATTTCTGCTTGACAAGCCTGTGGACGTGGTGCTGGTCAATGGTCTTCAGCAACTGATTGACTAGGGGGTTATTGCGCGTTTCATTCCAGTCCAGGTGGTTCATTTTATGATGATGTTTCAGAGCGGATAGATATGACAAAAGAGTTGGGGGTACAACTCTGTTGTGCATGAAAGTGATAAATTCTATGAGGTGATCTTTGGTAATTGGCCAGATGTTTCTCTGAGGATTGGTCCAAGAGTTGTCGACTGCTAATGCTTCATACTGTCTTACGGCTGATTTGTATGTCTTGTTTGTTTTCTCGTCTAGCCCTAATAACAATGCCGCCTGTTGGTCAAGTGGAAGATTCGAAGCATGTGTGCTCGCCGTATTGCCCGCAGGGGTGTAGGAACCTATTGGGTTAAGGACAGAATTATACAAATTAGGTCAGAAAACTTTGAGGGAATAACTGGATGCAGGTAACGCGCAGTAGGGTTATGCTTCAGGAACTCTCTATGTCCGTTTCACGAGAGTAAGTCTGCCTGTGAATTTGCTCTGCCTGGAATGTACTCAAATTTAACTGAGAAGCAGCCCTGTATCTGTGCTTGATAGATTTGCGCAATGATATTGTGATTTCAGGCTGTTTACAGTAGCCGTTGTATACGGCTTCGGCGTTGGCCTGATTGTCAGTCCACATGATGAACCGTTGCTGCACCCATACAGGTGAGAAGGTCAACATGGCAATAAGCGCAGTAAGCAGCTCATGCTTCTGAATGTTATATAAGGAGAGGTCCAGACCACGAGCCCAGTTGAAGGTCGTGAAGTATGATTGGAACGTTGCATCGCCACTCAGGTTAGAAGCATTAGTGAATAAATTTTGCGCATCCGGCCTTAACCAGACCTGGTCCTCCATGAGGTGTATGCCGGACCAGGCAGGAACTGTTGTAATCCACCAACGAATGTCGAATTTCATAGGGCCATTAACTTTAATATGGGACTTAGGACCTTGCACCGTGTTGAGGGCTCTTATGAAACGCTGTATAAAGGGTCATCCTTGTGGGATGACCTGGCATACCCACATCAGTGAGCCGATTAAAGATTGAAGTTCCTTCCGAAAACATGTCTGTTTGCCTGCCCATTGTTCCAACAGGGCAATAATCTTTTGTTTTTTGGCTATAGGTATCGTGGCTGACAAAAACTGAATATCCGGCTGGATACCAAGAAACGTGATAGAGGTGCCAGGCCCCTCAAGTTTAGACGGCTTATGTGAAATGTTGAGAATGCTAAGAATGCAGAGGAATTGATCTAGCTCAGGACGACCATTAGATCTAGATATAATGAGGAAATCGTCCACATAGTGAATGATCGACTATATACCCTGTTGCACCGTGATCCATGTTAGCATGTCGTCGAATCTGCAAAATATGCCGCCCGAGGCCCGGTTGCCGAAAGCTAAAGCTTTATCAAAATATAACTGGTCATTGTAGGTTATTCCTTGTAACACCTGATCGACAGGGTGAACTGGAATAATCCTGTACACGTCCCTTATATCTATTTTCAATAGGTAGCAGCCTTTGCCATAGTACGTAATCCACCGAATTGCATGGCTGACATTTTCGTACTGCATGCTAAATTCGATCCGTCATTGATACTGGTGCCAAAGGGGGCTGATAGGTGTGAAATTACTCGATACACCTTAGGGTTGGTATCTTTCTTTTCTACCAGCCCACACGGATTTACCTGAAACAATTGGCAAGGAGGCTGATGTGAGGAAAATGGGCCGCACATACGGTCCTGTGATACCTCGTCTCGTATGTAGTTTGAATTCTCTTGGATGATAGTTGCCCTTTGTCCTGTAAAATTAAAACGGAATCCATTCTTAAGCTCGTCCGTCAGGTAAGAGACAAATGGCTGATTTGGGTGGCTGGCTATCAGATGCGTGAATGCATCTATATTGATCAGTGTGGAAATGTTAAAAACCTCGGGGTTGAGCTGCCTTAAAATCTCACACTCAATGGGAGTCAAAGGTTTGTTGCGCGGTGGAATTGCCGTCGGCCGATTGAAGGCTAGGTGGCTCGAGTAAAGTAATTCCACACGCAAGTCTGAACTGTGATGGGTGTCTGAAACGAAACTCTGCGGCTGAAGCAAGATAAGGGAGTTAGTCTCTACTGTGGATAGGTTGTATATATCTTCGTGAGTGAGACAGGAAACCGTGGCAACGAAACTTCCAAAACCCATCTTGCGAATTCCTCTCTTTTTCTTTTTTTTTTTTTAATGAAACTATTCTACTATGTTTTTTTTTTTAATATATACGCTTTCCCCCTTTTTCTCTTTTTTTCTTCTCTTATTTCGAAATGTTTATTGAAAGAAAATGTTCATTCATCATTTTTTTTTTTTTGGTTTGATTTTTTTTTTTTTTTTACATTATTGCATTATAACCATCATTTTCTCGACCCAACCCACCACACACGGGGGAACACTCTCCTGATCCTGCCATTTTCCTATTTCACAGCCGGCCTGCTTCGAGCAGGCAGGAAACCACTGGTTGATGCTGCTTATCACTCATTCTACTGTTACGATGATACCTGGGCGCAATCTCACTTGCTAATTTTCCCGGGAGCATATCATCGTTTCAGTTCAAATTACTCAATTCAAATTACTCACAATGTATTCTGCGGACTTAAATGAATTTATTTCCGGCACCTTTGGCGTGCCAGCATTCTTCCAATCACATGACCAATCGTATCTATGCTTTTCGTACAGTCATCCTCCTCTATAGTCACCTCCTATATAATCACACCCTCTTTATAAGCACCATTTTTTGAAAAATATTTTATTAAAAAAGCTCTATATACAATTTTATAATCACATCTTTTTTATGAAAACAAACAGCGTGATTATAGAGGAGGACGACTGTATCTAAGGGTCACTCAATGGATCGGAAATTGAATAAATTAACCGAGTTACCATTTCGATGAACAAATCAGCGAGACACAACCCACCTTTTTTCTTCAAAAATTTACCATCGCTCAAGCATTACTTTTACATTTTTTTACATATCAAACATAATAAACAATTAATTCTCAACAAATTTCTAACCGGTCCAAAAAGACAGCCAAAGACGGTGTAAGGGATAATCTCTTACGGACTCTAAATTTTGGTGTTCGAAACCCAAACAGTTGGATCGCATGAATTTCAACTATATAATATAAAAGTTTCATAATCTGCAATATTTGTAATTTAACCTCAAACAAAAAGAAAGAAAGAAAAAAGAAAAAGAAAAACGAAAGTGATAAAAAAAGCAGAAAAATTTTTTGTAGATTTGATATTCATCGGGAAAAAATTTTTAGTGCTGTTCTGCAAAAAAATTAAATAATAAATGAAAATCTGTGCAAAACTTCAGATTCACCAGCTATAGCTACAGAAATTAAACACAGTTCTGTGCAAAATTTTCAAAATATCAAAAAATTCTGCCTGCATTTTCGCAGATTTTTTCAGATTTGCACTTATTTAATTGGTTTATGAAATTTTTTTTAATAAAAAAAAAACCGATCATAATTTTAATAATTGATACGTATAATAAATAAATATATATATATATTTAATAATAAAGCACTTTTTTTTTTTAAAAAAAAAGAAAAAACTAATAATTATTATAATTTTAAATATGTATATCAAAAAAAAGTCTATGAAATTGTGGGTTT